GGCAATGCTTTAGGAGGCCACTCTGCTGGAGGCTGATGTCCTGCAAGTGCACATGGTTGTTGTAGCACTTTCGTGATAAGTGAAGTGTCGAACCCACAGGGAAAAGAAATGATGGAATTCAAACCCCGCAACTACGTTGTCACTTAGGTAGTTACATGCGCACCCAAGGAGTTTGGAGTAGTATACTTTAGTCGGTTGCTAGGGGGACAAATAAAAAAGGAGTTTTAACTAAACCGCAAACGAAAAAAATAAAAGACAGAAAAATTAAAGGAGACTAAACTACGTTAAACGGCGCTTGAGTAGTAAACGTTCTCGAGGAATCGAGAGCCATCACCACGAGCATGACGAAAACAACACAAAAAAACAAGAACCCTCCACGCGTTCCTTCCACAATTCCTCCTCGGTAGCACTTCAATCCTCATCCATTCCACCCCGCTACGGACACGATATCAACTAGTTTCGGACCTGCGCGTGTGCTTAGCTAGCTACAAACCTGCAACGTCACTCATGTCCGACCAGTATGTGACTATGTATACACTATCACTTGTGAATTGTAACTGATTGCGAGCATTAGTTTTTTTCCAGGAAACTGTCAATCTATTCATCATCAATCATGGCAGTACAATAAACATCAGAAATAATAAAAATTACATCCAGATTCATAGACCGATGACTACAAAAACTGAAGCGAGCAGAAGGCGCGCCGCCGTCATCGCCCCTCCCTCGCCGGAGCCAGACACAACTTGTTGTAGTAGACAGTCAGGAAGTCGTTGTGCTAAGGTCCCATAGGACCAACGCCTCAAAACAGCAACCTCCGTCGATGAAGAGAATTTTAGATCGGGAGGATCCAACCTGAAGACGCATGAAGAAAGACGAATAAAGACCGGATCCGAACGGATCCATCAAAGACAACCACCGACCAAATCTCGCGAGATCCGCCGGAGACACACCTCCACACGCCCTCCGACGATGCTAGACACAACATTGGGATGGGGGCTAGGCGGGGAGAACCTTATTCCATCTTCAAGAAGCCGCCGCCATCTCGTCTTCTTGAGCAGGACACAAACCCTAACAACACTTGAAGAAGCACCTGAAAATGAAGCCCTCCCACCGGCAAGGGCAGGGATCCACCGCGCCCTAAGGCCACAGGAGACATGAAAGATCGGCGGCGCCGCTGACGGGAGGCAAAAACCCTAGCCGCCTTTTCTTGAAAGATTGCGAGCATTAGTTAATACGCCCTCCGTTCCATATTAATTGCCATGGTTTTAGTTCAATATCATGACAAGTAATATGGAACGGAGGGAGTATATAACAGTACCCCTTTCAAATTGAAGGGATCATTAATTAGCCATCGGCCGACAAGGCTCCACCCGGATGGTTAGCAGCAGACCCGACCCATAGGCCGGGCAAACGGGGCGCCTGCCCTGGCCCCCGGAAGGCAGGGGCCCCAGTTTGAGAGATAGTATTCCTTCGTACGTGTAAGAAGCCCAAGAAATATATCTAGAAAGCAGAGAGCCGATTCAGTCGTGGGGCAAAACCCATTGTCAATCTTGCTCCTCGACCCCTCCACTTCAGAAGGTCCTGACTGCCATAATAGCGCCGCCGCTCCCATGCCTTACCGGTTTCAAGGTCGCCGTCGGCTATTAATGGAGATTAAAGGCGAAAATCCGTTCCCAAATCGGCTCTCCTTCCTTTATTAGTGTTCTTCTCGTTCCCCATCAACTAGACGTTGGAGATGTGGAGACGGTAGGTGTTCTTGTTTTCCTTTCCATAATCCCGTTCCTCCTCAATTAAATCGCTCTTCCCTCCTGCTCTGACGAATCCGCATCTACCTGCATAGGTGTTCTGATATTAACTGGATCTAAGTGTGAGAGAGTCCTCGGGAATCAGGAGATTAGAAGAACTATAGAATGGGGGAAATTATTTAGGTCTTGGTGTCGTCTTCTCGTTCGTGCTGACTACTGCAATCTGCGGATCATCCACATCAATACATGTTTAGGTGTGTTTGTTCCTGTATTAATCATTTTGTGCTAACTGTTCTTGTTTAGTGTCATGTCGTCTAGAAAGTGTTTATCCGGTAAAAAGACCACCGACTGTGCAATGATGCACTGTTAATATTTTTGATCCGCCAAACTACGACAATCTGAATGATAAGGTTACGGTTTTTTTAGTTGAGATAGTAATTCTAGACATAATGATATTGTGTTCCCTCCAGATAGTAATTCTAGACATTTTTCACAAACTTATAATTCCAGAAATTTGAGTAAGCTTTTCAAATCCACAACAACAAAGTTGGAAGAATTGAGTTATTATCTAGGTAAATTTCTTGGGAGTGAAGAACATGGTGGGTTGGGAAAGATTCAGAAACAAATGTTCATACATGTGCTAACTTCTTATCTGATGGTAGCACAATTTTTTTAAGTAGCAACCAGTTTGGACAGGGTTATATGTTTTGCAGAACAAAATAAAATCTCCGTTGTTCAAATTAAGGAAAGTGAGTTAATGTGGAATTACATTGTTTCATTTACGCGAGCCACAAGTGCAGCAGGGAGTCCCATGCCCAGAAGCTCAACAGTGGTGGTGAGCTGACAACCATAGTGTGGCTTATGGCAGAACACATGTACCAAGCGTTCGTCGCAGAAAAATATGATATGGTATAATTTTTTGACAAAAATAGTACTAGTACCCTACTTCATGTATTTTATATTGTTGTCTGTAAATTACATATGTAAAACAAAGAGTAAAGAGAAATGTGTGAGCGTGACAGGGTAGTGGAACCGATCCAAAACAGCCGAGTTAGTTCTTTACAAGCGTTTCTGCAAACACCTAGTGTGCATGTAGTAAATCCAGGCTATATGATGAAATCCACAAGCACCAAGCTAAACAAAGTCCATCACAACAATATACATGCAAGGACAACTTACTACAACATCTAACCCGCAAAAAATAATTACTACAATAACATCAATAACCGAGTAGAAAACTTGATACTGAAGTGCCCCTTGCGCCAGGAGCTCTCACGACCGCGAGCCCGCACCTACGGACGGTAACCGCTCCAGCGCCGCCAGCTGCCGAGACCGCGCGCCGTCTGCACCTCCCTGCTGCCCCCACCGTGCTGCTTTGGGGATTTCCGGCTGCGTCATCTGCCACCCCAGCGGGCTCGTCAGCGCTGGATCGGGATCGGGATCTCGCATTCCCGCCCCCGCCACCTCCTAGGCGCCCGATCCACGCGCGGGACGAGGTGGATTTCTTCCCCGAGACCCCTCCTAAGCTGCTCCGCACCGCTCCCTCTCCGTCTAGCAACGCGCCTTCCTTCAATGCTGACAATAACTCCGACGTCAGGGCAGGAGGGTGGTTACCTGCTTTCAGGGCGAGGTCGGTGAGCTACATTCATCGCGCATGCTTGCCCCGCGCATGGCGGCTGCGGGGCTCGAGGCCACGGATGCAGACGGATGGGTGACCGTCGAGTCATATCGGCCGCACCAGCCGGCTTTTCGATCGACGCCCATCAAGCCGTGTTCCTCCTCCCCGACTGGATAAAAAGGTTGTGCTTTCA